CCCCAACCAGGGATTGGCTATGCTGCAATCCCTTATTTTCCTTCTGGAATCTTGGCTATACACACACACGTGTGCGCACGCTGGGTGTGATCTATCAAGCCACCAGGTCCAGGAATCAAATCATGGTCCTCCACATGTGAGTCCAGCAATATAATCACTACGCTACCTGTTGGCCTCAAGGCAAATTTCGAATTCCTTTCTTCTTATTCTGCTCCCTTCATTACTTGCTTTCAGATGACTTAAAAACATTAATTTAAAAAAAAATTTTATTTTTTAAGAGTTTTTTGTTTTTGTTTTTGCTCTAGGGCACGTGCTCACCAGAAAGAGAAAGACAGAAAGTGAGAAATTACCCCCCAAGGGCAACAGCCACGCTGCAATTCCTTCTCCTGGAATTTTGGGCACATGCCCACATGCGCCCAGCAAAAGTTTTAATTCGTGGGGTCCAGAACTTGAACTGCGTGAGATTTCCAGTGACATAACCATTACGTCATCTGCTGATCCCTACTTACTACTTTTTAATTTGAACAGAGAGACAAAGAAGGAAAGTGAGAAGGCAAGCTGCAGGTCCAGGACTCAAACCATGGTTGGCCATGTTGTAGTCCAGCACCTTAACCACCATACCAACCTGCTGGTCCCCAAATGACTTTTTAAAAAATTAATTCTGGGGACAGCAAATGGTGTAATGGTTATATCTCTGGACTCCTACGTACTGGATGGACTGTGGTAGGAGTCCTGATCCAGCAGCTTAAAACTCATGTGCGTGTGCCCAAAATCCAAAAAGGAGAACGGAGGGGAAGGGATTGGGGCATGGTCGTACCCACTAAGGGCTGATTTCTCCCTTTCTATTAGTCTCTATCTCCAGTGAGCGCACACGCCCTATAGCAAAAACTTAAAAGAAAAATAATTAATTACTTCTACCAACTACTCAAACAGAACTACAGGGCCAAAATAAATCGCCCCCACCAGGACAGAAACCGTAGGTACAGTCCCAGTGTCGCTAACCGCTGCAGCCTGAGACCTCCGTGTACCCGGGACGGCTTCCATCAGTGCCCCATCAGACCTTGGGACACCGGTCAGGGGTCGCAAGCCAGAGTCAGCGGTCACTGCTTCCGAGTCGCGGCGCAGTGTGACCCTAACGAGTTCTCCTCCTCTAAGGCTATCGTCGGTGTGGAGTCGCGCACTCTGAAAACCGTAGAGTGCGTCTCTACGAGTCTCAACGCTCAGAGAGGACTGGGAGGCAGCCGCAGGTGCCACACCGTCAACGGCTCTCTAGCAGCAGCCGCCTAAGGCTCGCGACCAGAGCGGAAACAGCCCGGACTGCGCAGGCGCCCTCCTGACCCGGCTGGGCGTGGCGTGTGCGGGTCTGCGCCGCGCGGGCCCGGGTGTCGGTGCTGGTGTGCGGGGAGAGGAGGCGCAGGCCACGGGGCGCCCAAGGATCACGACCCGACGCATCGCTGCCAAAAGGGAGGGAGGACAGTAGAGAGCGACCCTAAAAGCCGCTGTTCTGAGCGTTTGATTCTGTCAGCCTGATTTGGCTGTTCCCCAAACGGAGCAGTGTGTTCGGGCCGCTGTTTACTGGGTGCTTATCGTGGGCTTCTCAACAAATACAAACTTGAGGCTTAAATATTATTATTTTTTTAAAGAATTACTTCATTTTATTTAGTCATTCAATTTATTTATTGCTTAAAATTTGACCAGAGAGAGAAGGAAAATGAGAAAGCGAACCACCAGGTCCAGGACTAGAACTATGGTCAGCCATGTGGGAGTGTCCAGCACCGTAACCACTACGCCACCTGCTGGTCGCAAAGCTCGAATATTAACAGTTTCATTTTACGTATAAGGGAATTACAGCCTCGATCCTGTCACACTGTTTTCTTCTTTTGAATCAGGCCTTACGGTGCTCAGTAGGTGCTCAGCAGGGACTTGCACCTTCAGCACCAGTAATAGGATCGAAATCCTAGGAATTGTATCCCATTAGGGCTTGAAAGAGGGCCCTTGGATATCTGTGCTGTGCGGTGAGACAGGGTGGTCCTGAGTGAAGGCCCCTGGCCTGGCCCCAGCCTGAGAAAGACCCAAGTTGTGAAGGAGGGAGAACCGGAAGGGCAGTGGCCTGGGTAAGATTCGGTACCTCACTAGACACCGCTACCTCACTGTCTCTCTAGGACTAACCCAAAAGCTTTATGAGAGCTTACCAAGGACCTTTCACAGAAAGCCAATTTCACTTAGGAGCAAAAACGCAAGAGTGGAATAAAATACTAGCGAACTGCGTCAAGTGGAATAGTAAAAGAATACTGACTACGTAGAATTTAGCTGTGGAATGCAAGGATTTTTTTTCTTTTTTTTTTTTGAGAGATTTTTTACTATAGGGTGCGTGTGCTCACCAGAGAAGAAAGAAATGGAGAAATCACCCTCCAGGGGGGGATGGCCACGCCGCAATACCTTCTCCACTCTGTCTCAGGATCTTGGGCATTCGCACACACGTGCCGGCGTGAGTTTTTGCTACCAGGTCTGGGGACTCGAACTGTGGTTGACTACATGGGAGTCCAGTGACATAGCCATTACGCTATCTGCTGGTCCCAAAGGATGTTTTTTAAAAAATTCTTTTTCCCCCCTTTTTTGGGGGGGAGAGAGGCTTTTCCTATAGGGCATGTGCACTTGCCAGAGACAGACAGAAAGACAGAAACTGAGAAATCACCCCCTGGGGGGATGGCCATGCCGCAGTCCCTTCTCCATTCTCCTCTTGGGATCTTGGGCACTCATGCACACATGGCTGGCATGAGTTTAAGCCTCCAGGTCCAGGACTTGAATCATGGTCGACTATGTGGGAGTCCAGTGACATAACCATTACACATCTGCTGGTCTCCAAGAATTCTTTTATTTAACTTTATTTATTTATTTTATTTGACCAGAGAGAGAGAGTGGGAAAGTGAGAAAGCAAGCCACCAGGTCCAGGTCTTGAACCACAGTCGGCCATGCGGGAGTCCAGCACCCTTAACTACCATGCCACCTGCCAGCCCCAGGGCCTGGAATATTAGAAAGATCCCAGATACTCTTGGAGACACTCCAGAGCACGTGGCTGTAGCTTCCAGACCCTCTAACTCCAGCCCATGGCTGCATGTTCTGGGCAAGGGCACCCTTCCCCAGCCAGGCACGGGCTTTCCCGACTTCCCACAGACCCTGCCTGGACCTTGGCTTTCATTTCTGCCCCAACCCAACGTCCTTGCCCTATCCTATGCTGAAGCTGGAAAGAGGAGGAGGTTAGGTGTCACCTTAAAGAGGCTACGCAAGCTTACAGAGCCGTAGAGCCCTATCACTCCAGACTAAGCCTGAGGTTCAGAAGCCCGCTGCCACTGCCTGGAAGCGTGCTACCTTGGCTGTCAGTGTTGGTGCTGGGGCTCTCGCTCACGTGCAGGCAGACTGCACATTTTCCCTCTGGAAATGTGAATACTCCTCAGCCCGTCTGACTTTGGCCTCTGGCCACTCTGACCTACAAGGGCAGTTGCTGCGCAGAGCCGGGACTCCAGCAGTGTCCCGACAGTAGACGCGTCTGGGAGTTCTTTTCTTGTGCTGGGGAGGTTTAGGCTGTTAGAAAAGTGTGTGTACATTTCTAGGATCAAATTCCTTACATTTGTCCTCATGTTTTCTGCCTCGTAAAAACATTTTTCCTGGGGCCAGTAGGTGGCATGATGTTTAAGGTGCTGGACTTCCACATGGTCAACCGCAGTTCGAGTCCTGGACCTGGTGACTTGAAAACCATGTGGGGGGGGGAGGGCAGCAGATGGCATAGTAGTTATGTCTCTGAACTCCCACATGGCTGACTGTGGTTTGAGTCCTGGACCTGGTGACTTCAAAATCACACTGGGCCCGTGTGCATGCATACCCAAGATCCTGGGAGGAGAAAGGATTGCAGCATGGTCATCCCTCCTGGCAGGTAATTTCTCACTTTCCCTCTCACTGTCTCTGTCTCTGTCTCTCTCTCCAGTGAGCACATGCACCCTAAGGCAAAAACCTAAAAAAATAAATAAACCCAAAAAAGCAATAATATCAACAATAGTCTTTTTATCTCTATCTCTCTTGGGCGGACTTTCTTGTACGAGAGAGAGAGAGAGAAAATAAACTTTTAAAAACTCAATAATGGTACCTGCTCATTTTAGAAATGTGTAAAGATAACTACTAGCAGGGACTAGCAGTTGGCGTAATGGCTATGTGGCTGGACTCCCCATGTAGTCAACTGCGGTTTGAGTCCCAGACCCGGTGGCTTAAACTCACACCAGGTGCGTGTGTGTGCGTGCCCAAGACCCTAAGAGGAGAATGGAAGAGAAGGGCTTGCAGCGTGGTCATCCCCCCGGGGAGTGATTTCTCGCTTTCTCTCTCTCTGTCTCTCTCTGACTTTCTGGTGAGTGCACGCGCCCTATAGCAAAAACCCCTCCAAAAGAAAAAAGAAAAGAAAAAAAGGTAACCACTAGCAGAACAGACACAATGTGCAACCCCTGAGCCAGCGGACAGGTGGATCTGTTAGGGTCTGATTTGCAAATGACTGGCCAACTTAAGTGCAAAAGGAATTTATTGAAAGGTTCACAGTTCAGGATATCAGCTGGAAGGCTGGAAAAACTGGCAGAGAAAAGAGGCGACCCCAAGGGAGGCTGGGCAGGATGCTGCTGCCAGCGCCCTGCCCCTGGACACGTCCCTGTTGTCATTGTCTTAGTGTCACTTGTTCCAGATACAAGCCCCATGTCAGGTTGTCCCGCTGGCTGACCAAGCCGTGTGCCACTCGGCAGGCCACAGCAGTGGAGTCTGGTCCTCCAGCTTCTGTGATGGAAGCCTGGGCTTGGGCTGCCACCCACTGTCACACCTACCCCCCAGAAGGACTTCAGACCTAGGGGCCACTTCCCATCCCTCCCCCCAGAAGTACCTCCTCTCTAAAGGACATATGGGGACAGAGCATGATGGATCCATGAGAAGACAAGAGTGGGAAGTGGGGGACTCTGAGAAGCGTCTCCCAGACGTGAGGCTTGAGGTGGAACCACCGCGTGACCGCGTAGAGAGCAGACGTGAAGCGCCACACCCTTCACATCCGGAGCTGATGCTTAGCAGAAGGAAGGGTGGGCAACTCAGCTTTGTTTGTTGCTGACACTAACCTTGGATTCTGAATTTCCAAAGAAACCGAGCCATTTTCCTGAGAAGGGAAGCATTCTTCAGTATATTCACCCTGGCCCTCAGGAATACTGGAGTGGTCTGGGTGAGAAAGGCAGTCAGGAACTCGGAGAGCTAGGTGGGTCGGAGAATAAATCTGCCATGGGGTCGCAGAGGAAGAGAGACAGAAGGAGGAGGTCCTGGCCCAGAGCTCACATTTCCAGAACCAGAGAAACGCCTGGAGATACTGGGAGGGAGGGTGTAGCCAGGGACCAAAGGGCCAGGCTGAAGAAGGGGGCCCCAGAGCTCCAGGGCCAACCAGGGGCTGGAACCCAGGGCACCCACGGGGACTCTGATGACACACAGCAAAGTGGCAGGAAGCCCTGGGTAGGAGCAAGGGCCCACAGTGCTCCTGGCCTGAGGCCCTGGAGGATACTTGGCCTCCCTGGCCAGGCAGAAGAGCAGGCCCCTCCTAAGCAGGCTGCAGGGGAACCTGCTTCTGGGCTGTCACCAGGTACTTGACAAGCAGGTGGGGATGGCAAGCCCCAGCCAGGTCCTGTTGGTCAGCCTTCCATTTTCATCTGTCTCTAGGCCAAACTTAGAGCTGCAGTTTCTGTGTTCCGTGGTCACCGTGGCCTGTGATAATGGAGCCTGCCCACTGATGTGTCACGGAGACCCTGGAGAGACCGAGGCGCACCCTATGACCCATCTCCTCACCTCCCAGTGCTCCTCTGCACTTAGCAGGCCCTCGCAGATACATAGGACTGAGGTCCTTGGGACCCAGCTCCCCTCTGTCACTAAAGAGAAGGCTTCGGAGTCCAGAGTTGGACTTCAGGAACGCCACAGGGTCTGGCGGCTCCTGGGGCTGGAGCTCACAGCCCTGCCGGCCTCTTCACAGGCCCTCTTCCCCCCAGAATCCCTTCCGTCACTCCCCCCCCCCCCCGCTCCCCCCGCGCCCCTCCCCCCCCC